GCCCAGCCTCACCTTCAAGTAAGCAGCAACAGCCAAACCAAGCTGGACATAAAGTTGATATATAGCTGTTCTGTTTTTCTGACATCATACGGATGATGAATCCGGGCAGCTCTGAGTCTGTTGTTCTCAGTTCTGTGCAAAATACAGAGATTTAATATACTGCAAATGCTACCTATTAAATGTATTGATTACTCATAGTCCAATAAAGCTATCATATGCAGTGATCTTAGTGCATTGATTTACATATTTTTTCCTCAAGACCAATTGATCATTTAAAGAGTAGGTACAGTTTCAGTCAGCCAGAGTTTACATTGGTTTAACTATGGCCTTTATGTTGATGTAAATGTAATTAAAGCTGCCATTGAAGCAGGCTGGCTTCGTGTTTTGCAGGACTGTGTGCACACAGAGTTTCTGGTTGTATATGAAACACAAAGGTGTGGTCAGTGCAACTGTTTGTTTTGGTCTCAGATGTTCCTCCAGTGGGACATTCAGGGTCATATGCAACACTTTTAACAGATTTGCTACAAATTTTAATCTGTGAGTGCATCTTAGTGAGTGACCACTTCAGTACCAGGACCTTTGAGGCTGATGTCCCCTCATCACTAATGACCATTCACTCTCACCTGGTGATTTTCCCCCATACACACTCTTCTGCATAATCTTGAACAGCAAAGTATTGTTTTTATAATTATTTTTTTTCAATGCAGTTATAGCTTATAAGAAAACACCATCAGTTGTATAAGGTCCGTTTAGCAGGCACATGATATTGAAAAGTGCTTCTCTCAGCTCTTTAAGTACTCCCCCTAAAAGATGGTGGCATGTTTATTCTTAAGACTCTTGTTTTGTTTATGTCAAAGCAGTCAGTGACTAATGGTATCCTGACGAACGCTTTTTGAGGGCATATCTTTATTTTTCACAGCATCCTAGCTAAGTGACTGTTGTTGTTTTGTTTTTGTTAATACTGGCAAAGACACTTGTTCCTTCCGGTCTTTGGTGGTCCAGCTTTGTTGTGCTGTCTCCGCTCGGATTTTATGAGATAATTAAAACAGCGCTCAGATTACACATGGAATTTCCCATACATGTACTCAAACTTATCAGTTGTTTTCAGAAGGACATTTGTGTCAACACGTGATTGATTAAGTCAACAATATTAAAAGTCTTCCTGTTTAAGCTTACCATGTGATGAAGGGAAGGAAAATTAAGAAAACGGCTCATGGTGAGAAACTCAGATTAGCAAAAATGTTTTTCTACTACTGACACAAAACAACACAAACTTCCTCTTACAGTAACAGTCTCTTGTCTATAAATAAAGTTTATAAAGTTTAAGCCCTATTAGTCCAATAATGTAAACCAGGTAGGTCTCAGAGGGCCACATGGCAGACTAACGAGACTTGATGGCCCCGATACTGGACATCACAGCTTTCTGCAGCTTCTAGCTCTGAGTTGTATATTTGCTGTCCCACAGCTATTACACTCAGTAATTATATACACACTGGTCTCCAGAGTGGCCAACCGATGTCTAAATTACAGTCGGTGGAAAAACCACGGCAAAGTTAAAAAAAAAAAAAAATGTCTCTAAAGAAACTTGACATACCAACATGCTTCGGCCTTTAAAAAGTAGTACAAGAATCCAAAACATCTTGCTGGAAAACAAAGTCCTCTTCTTTATTATTGAGTATTTATTTAAGGTTTTGAGAGCTGACAGAGTATCAGATGTTTGGTCTGTCTGCATTTATTTCCAGGCTTCCTTTTCAAGCAACACAGTAAGCATTTTAGGGGAGTATTTGCAGGATTATTTTGGAAACTTTCTTTCAAATAGAGTGAGGCACATGGTAAAAAGCTACTAATGGTCTATCCCAGGCTTTAGACGGGGTTGCTAGATTGTATTTAAAAGCTTTAAAAAGCTCTATATTGACAAGCAGGCAGAGTTGAACTGAGGTGTTGAGCCCAGAGCGTTTTACTTCCAGTGTGTAGCCTTAATATTACACCACGGCCACAGCTGCTGTGTCGCCGCTGATCTGTCCCCAAGAAACATGATGCTGTTTATAATCTGACCATCATTTGGACGCCGACAGCCTGCGACGCCAGACCCATGATTTACCCCTGGGTGCCTGCGCGTGTGTGTGTGTGTGTGTGTGTGTGTGTGTGTGTGT